TATTTATTCAGTTTATTAAATGTCAGATTAATTACGTGATAATTGTTTTGAGAATGATCCGAGCTTTAACGGAGGGCACGCCTTATTCCACCTTAATGTACTGAAATGGGATCACTTTTTTGCCATCAGATGTTGACAGAAATCAGCACGTGAACGTCAAATATACTTTTAAGCATCATGTAGCACTTTCCACCTCAGACTGCCACATCACAGCAATTGCCAGTGTTCAAATTTATCTCAAAAACCACCATAATTACAATAAGAGGCACCTGTAAAAGTTTGTTACCACTGACTGTTTTTAGTGTTTTTCTGTTATCAAAACATCATCACATGCACCCCAATACTAACTAGGATGAGGTATTTCTGACTATGGATGACGTAAGATATCAACTTAGTCTTATCTAAAAATTATGCAGAACAGTTTAGAAAGAACAAATGAAAAGATTGTCTTATAAAGTGTTTATTTTATTTTATTAGTAGATATTAAAAATATCTACTATGTGCTTAAACATTCTCCCTAGCTGTCCTCAAGATCAGAATTTGTTTCGAAACATTACAGTCAAGTTTGCTCTTGCATTTATAACAAACTGACATTTGGGCTGTCGGAGAAAAAACAGACTGAAATGACTCTAATTACCTCATAAAAGTGTTTGACTCTATGTTAAATGCCCCAATAGGCATTATTATGCATAAAGTAAAGTCATGTGGAGTGGCAGATTTGGGTCTAGCAGCAGCCTTTGTGGAAGGAGCTGAACTGGTTCTATCAGTCATCTGTGACTCTAAGGGAATCACAGAGGGAGCAGAACGACTGGAACGACATCCAGCCAGCATGATCCATAAGAACAAAGGCAAACATGGACTGTTGACGTGGCTTATAATTTTTGAGGAAGAAGTGCGTTTATAGTCAAATATCAACATTTGATGTTTTTGCTACGGTATAAGGTAAAAATGTTAAGCACCACATTCAAGCCAAGAGAGAAATATGAATACAAGGCACAACCCTCTTGGAAACTGACCACATGGGTGGATTTGAGGTTTGTAAGCAGTGTTGCTTTGAGGATGAAAAGCCCCGATCGCCTGCTGTGATGTGTGTCCAGCGAGAGAAAACAGGAGAGAGTCGTCGTTGCACGAGAGTCCGACTCTCTGATGGCATAAAAAAAAAAAAAAAAGTCTGAAGATAACACAATTGACGACAGACTCTCATCTCAGTCATCCTCCGTCTGCGAAATACACAGAGATTATCATAACCAAACCTAAAGTGGAGCCCGGACAGCTGGGCTTTGATACGTTTGATGTGCAAAAGCTGGGCGAAGCCGCTGACCTTCGCTGCTACCGCAATTACATCATAGGGCAGCTCCTGCTCTCATGAATATTAATACAGCTTCTGGAGGCATCTCCCGACACCTCTGATTGCCAGGGATCTGAACTTCCCTCTGCATGACAAGTGCATCTGTCACATAAAGTGCATGTAATGGTTTTTCTGCTTCGGGAGAGATGCAGACCACAGGCAGGACCGGATCAAAGCTCCGCAGTTTTTATGCTGCAGGTGGATGAGAGAGATACTGTGTGTGTGAGTTGTTTTTTTTATTATTATTATTATTTATCGGGGGGAAAAGGACATGATGAGCACAAGAATGGGTTAGAATAAGAAGTCGGTTTGGTATTTAATAGCAGATAAATAAGCTTGCAACCTTCTGCGGCTCTGCTGAACCAAAGCCAAACAGAATCAATCCTCTTTTGTTTCGTATTGCAGTGCAACTAATTTTCAGTGACTTTTACTCATTATAAAGTGCTTCCTTTTGGACCAGAGCAGAATGAGTGTAGTGCATTGTGAAAGTATTCATGCAGCCTGAAGGTTCACACATTCACTTTAGATATTTAACCTCAGTATGTCACAGTGCACACCATGAAACGAGGCAGTGGGCAGAATAATGCTCTGGGATCTTTCCTTTTCAGCAGGGAGAGGAGAAGGATGGATGGAGCTTTCTATCCTTGCAGCGAAAGGGATGAATATTTCCGTTTTAGCAGCACAATAATGGGAAACATGCAATCAGATCTGCAATGTTTGTTCTTTGGATCAAAACATAACCATGTGTTAGTCAAAGTCCAAAACTAAATTCCACTGAAACTCTTTGGCAAGAACAGAGAAGTGATGTTCACACATGCTTTCTACCTAATCTGCATCAGTTGGACATATTTTGCAAAGAAAAATGTAGTTGTACACGTAAACAAACCCCTGAAGACGTGCTGCTCTAATTCAGGGGGGTTAAATAACAACAACATGCCACATTTTGAAATTTTCTATTTATAAAAATATATTGCTTTTGCAAAGCAATGCTGCTTTTGCTGGATTGGACCAGGAATTGTCTTATCTTAACAGCTACAAGTCGCACAGTTTGACATACATGCATTCAGGAAAGTAGGATGAGGCTAAAAATAATAATAATAATTTTAAAAAACATATGCTTTTTCGATTATCATAGTTCTCAGAATTACCGTAAGATGGTTACTCTGAAAACAAAAAAAAAATGTACCAGTTAAAAACAGGAGCATGTGCAGTTACTCCATTTGCCAGCAGAGGGCCTCCTGTTACAATTTAAGACTAAAAGATAATCAGTTCTACCCTCCTAAAACTTAACTGGATACATTACTGATTGTTGCGTAATTTGTCTAAATAAACTTAACTGGATACTCGCGTAGCTGACTGAAGTCGTAAACTCATCAGATAATCAAAATGAAACGTTTCCGAAAAAGAAAATAATACCAACAAATGTGGCTGTTTTGTGTTAGAAATGTCTGCTTAACCAAATTCCTGCTGGAAAACAAATTACTTGGAAAACTGACTGGATGTATCACTGGAGAGCTCAACAGAACATTCTGCGGTCTTGGACCCGACTGAATAAGTAAATAGATCTTTATTCACACCAAGCCAAACTGCTCTCTTTCCCCAGGATGCCATAAAGGGCCTGAAGCAGCGTTAACTCCTCAGAGCTGTGAAAGAGCTCCGCTCACCAGGGAGCCAATAGAAAACTAACCATCGTGTGAATGAGCTCCACTTGCTGCTGTTTGCTGCCGCTGCACTGATGGAGTCGAGCTCCAGCAAGAAGAAAATTAATCTGTGCAAATAATGATAATAATAATAAAAAAGGAATCACTTAATTTTCCACGTGCGAAGTGGAAGAGGGCGGATGGATCTGAGCTGAAGCTGAATGACGAACTGACACACACACAGGGGGACGATGCTACGTGGTCACATTTGCAGTTTTCTCCCATATTAAATCTCCATAATGAGTAAATTAGTGGGTCTCCATCTGCGGTACTGAAAACTTAGAGTCACACATGCTGGCTATATTCGCAGGCTCCTGCTGAGTGTGTTGGTGGGGGAAAAAAAACATACACAGATTATTTCTACACACACACACACACACGTTACAGAGGCAACCACACAATGCACAAAACAGTGTGCTGTAGCGTGCATTTTCACTGCAGGTTTTGGTGAGAAGGTGTTGGCATGGAGGTGGTTTAATGTATAGTTTGGATGCAGAAGACAGTTTTTTTTTTTTTTTTTCATGCAGTTCTACTGATCTGAATACCACACGCTCCCTCAGTGGTTACATGCCTTCATGTGTCACTGAGTTCACTGTAACATTAATCTGTGATTCAGCACAGATTCAGCAAGCATTAACTTTGTAAATAAGCATTAGCAACTTATACAGCACCCTCCATGGTTAATTTAAATTCATGCCAAAACCTTTCAAATAAATCCATCTATTTTTGCAGTGGTGTAATCTCTCGCCATCACATGTAGTTCAAAAACAACTTTCTAGATTTTCTGCCTTTCTTGCACAGAAAAATAAACCAATTTTGTCAGTCAGTTCCAGCTGTTTTTATTTTTCATTTGGCAAGTGAAATAAACCCACCTAGGGACGTTTTGTGACGTCTGAAGATCAGAATGCATCTTACCTTAGCTGAATGAAATCTTCTGTTGTTTTTCCCATTTTGAAGAGTGGCTAAAAGAAATGGGTCCTTATGTAAATACGAATCTGTTCTCAATAGACAACCAAGTTAAATAAAGAGTTAGTACATATATAAACCTTTATATATTTTCTCCCGCAGGGAAACCAAAATTCCTAGACGATCCAAGCATTTCAAAATGTACATTTTAAACGAATCAATAAGTGTGCAAGAGTTTGCTTATGGAGGTGAAAGGCTTTTCTGGACACTATGCAGAAAAAAGCACATCAGTTTAACTCATGCATATTTCGTTTCTGTTGGAGAGGAAATAAAAACATCCTCTCGCTTCTACACACAATTTGTAGCAAAAAAAGTAAATAAAATAAAACAGAATTGATTTATCCAAAAAAAAAAAAGTGAGCAATTGAGACACAAGGTTTTTGTGTGGTTTATCTTTCCTGTGTCTGTTGTTCTATACATTTGTTTCCCAAGTTACCAGAAAAATCCCTCGTCAGTGTCTCATTTTAATAAACCTGATTCTGATTGTGACACGGGTAAGCTAAAAAATAAAAAGTCCCAGTTATTTCTTATCACAAAAAAGAAATCTACTCAAATTAATCGTTTGGTTTTTCCACGAGATAAGGCTATTGATATTAGATATGAATTAATTTGGAGGCTTTTTCACGTTTTTAGAACTGATGCCAACGAATGTGGAAAGGCGTTGTAACTTCTGCATGTTTCGCACCGTAGAAAACATTTCTGTCGTCTCTGTCTTGAGCATGTCAAAGACCAAAGTGCGAATCTCTCCGCTGACTCACATGGCCTAGATTCAAGTTGCTTTGTTGTGACAGCTTAAATCCAAATTCTTGTTGTTGTTTTTTTTTTTTTTTTAACGTACACGAAAAGGGCTCTTTTAAATTGAATAAAAACACACGTTGTGGTTTTATTCTTCATAAGTAAACAGACTGCTGAGCACAAATGAACATGCAGGAACCTTAAAACAAAAACCCGTAATTATGATTTCAGTCATTAACGCGTCTTGATGGAGCAAAACAATCCGCATCATCATTTTAATTGCAAAACTTCTTCACACCATTTTAATGGTTTTTGCTAAGCAAATCTGAAAACACATATGCAGTCATACAAACAATCGCATAAGCACACACTTGCAGACAAACACACACATTTACATATCGTCTGCAGCCATCTGCTCTAAATGATAGGTAATTAACTGCGGCCTGTCTTTGTCTCCCTTGCTGCCGGCCTGACGTATAGGAGCTCTTCAGCAGAATATACGTGAATCAAGGACTTCGGAGGAATAAAAGGGCAGGAGGATGAGTGAGGGGGAAGGACGACAACGAGGAGCAGAACTGCACGGTGTGTGTGAATGATGCAGCATGAAACTGTCGAGGTTCTTCTCAGAGAACCATTATGATGATGGAAGAAGGGGGGCGGGAGAAGAGCTGGAGATGATAGAAAGAAGAGATGCTGGGTCACAGTCGTTTAGTGTGTGTGTAGGGGTGTGTGTGTGTGTGTGTGTGTGTGTGGAGCTCACCTACAGTTTCCATATCAAGGTCAATCTGTGTTGAACCTAGCCGTGTAGGCTGGAGTAATGTTAGTATAATACTGTCGATCTAGGAAATAAAAAACCTTCAGTTAGAGCAACAGTGAAATAGTTCAGACTCAAATATCATCCCACATTTCCAGTCCTGACTAAAAACAAACAAAGATGGATTAAAGCAGAAATCTGGCTTTTAAATATCTAACAATAAACTCCTTCCTTCCTCCCCCCCCCCCATCCCCCTTCATCGCGTGCTCCATGATCCTGGTGAGTCCGTGCCTGTTTCAGCAGCGAGGGGCTATAATTAGCCAGGTAGATCTCGTGCTCTAACAACGAATAAGCGAGAGAAAGCCCTGCTTTTACACCCGCTGGCGCTGGAGACGGCTGTAGAGCAGCAGCAGCAGCAGCAGCACTGTAGAAGCCGTGGGATAATTAGACTGTGCATGCAGGAATGATTCTTGGTAAGAGGTGACAGAAAAGCTCGCAAGAGACGTTTGTCTCCTCTCTAGAGGTGCCTGGGCTGGATGTGGGGAAGGAGACAAAGGCAGTGGGGCTGAGGAGCAGGAGAAGGCTTAGATGCCAGAGAAACACAGATGGATAAAAATTAGTCAGTGTTATTTTTAGGATAATCTAAAAAGGCGATAGCAGAATATATAAGCCGTAGCCGGATTGAAGGGAGAGCATCTGTGAACATCAATATTTAAGATTCTTAACTGGACTGAGATCTGAACTCTGATTGGGTCATTTTAATACATTAATGTGTTGTTTTTTCTACACCACTCCATGATATTGTAGCTCTGGCTGAAGGCTTAGGGTTGTTGTCCAGCAGGAAAATGAATCTCTGGCTTAGTTCCAACATCTTTTCCAACCTTTAAAATTTTTCTTTTACAATTGTTCAGGATTTTCTTTCCGCCTGCCCAGTTTCCAAGCATCCCACAGCATTCTGCTCCCACCACCTTGTTTCATTATAGGGGCAATGTGTTTAGAGTGATGTGCTTTCTGACACACACAATGTTCAGCATTTATGCCACAAAGACCAAAGACCCTTCTTCCACATGTCTGGTTGCAGCTGGACTTATGGTTTTCATTTTAGGGAATTGAGTAAAGGGGGACAATTACAAAAGCAGGCTACTTTTATTTTATTTTTTTTTTATCTAACAGAATTTTTTTTATCTAACAGAATTTGAAAACCACATAGGGTTTTTTTCCTTATACACAACTTCATTTTGACTGTCAAATAAAACCACGACAGTAGACATTAAAGCTGGTGATTACCTGATAAAGTGTATTTGCTACGCCACTGTATATATTAACTATCGATCCATCTATCTATCTATCTATCTATCAGTGAGCAGTGAGAATGCCCTCCAGCTGCAATGTCCCTCCCCAGACGCCTGCTGACATGTCTGCAGCGGTCAGCAGGATACAAACACTCTAATGCACCAGTCCAGTGAGCAAACAAACAAACAAACCGTGATAATTGCTGTGATTAGGAGATAAGCGTCGGGCAGAAAACCGCTCTTTATGGCGGCAGAACCCCCCCGAGTGACCTTTTTTTGCAGAGGCAGCACAGCCACAGCAGCCATATTGTAGACGTGAGTGACTAGAAGCGTGTGCATCCGAAGGACAGGTCAGTGGAATGCGAAGAGCATCTGTGGACGATGGCTACCCAAGGCACATTCGAAACCCATTTTCACAGTAAAGTGGTATGATCAACAGAATGATTAGCAGAAGGTGATACATTCGTCTGTGGAGGGGGGGGGGGGGGGGGTCACAAAGTTCTGCGTGGGCGTTTTTCACCTCCTCCTGAAACCTTTTCTATAAATCACGTCTGTTCTTTGTGAAGTCTCTTGGCTTGGATTTTTAACACACCTCCTACAATCCTCTGTTTTGTATACTAATTAATTTTGCTGCTGTGAAAACACGCACTTCTTATTTTGTAGCCCATTGTTCAGTAGCTCCACATACATTCTGTGGACACCGCGTGGCATCGATGTGCACAGATCGACGTTAGAAGATTTAGCATTTCATTTACATAGATTGTCAAGGTTTTTGCAGAAAAATAGGTGTAAATGTATTATTCAGTAAGAAATTTACACTATAAAAAAAAACTACTTAACATGCTCCGCCTTTTGTGAATAGAAAACTGTTTTGTTTGTAATGCAAACATGTTATTTATATGCATATTATATCAAGGATCCAAAGCACAGTTTATTTATTTTTTGGTTCTTTATGCATTTATAGAGATAAGCAAATAAAATTTCCTTCAGAATACCTTTTTACAACTTTGCCGACTCTGAAAATTGTTCACTTCACTCGGTAACAACCGCCACACCAGAGAGTGTTTTAAAATTGGCTAAACCACGCAGCACGCAGTTATGACATATTCTCTAATAAAAAAAAAATATATATATTTTTTAACTTTCCAACCCAGATGGTCAAGTAAAACTGCATGGATTCTGGTGCATTTTCTACAAAATTTTACAAAGAAATCTATCATCGTTCACAATCTTTATTTAAAATTACTGCAGAGAGAAAGGAAAAAACCCGGTGAAATATGTAAGTGTTTCACAGCAACGTTAGAGTCAGTAAAACTGGCTCAGTCATAGACAGAAAGCTGAAATGTGTTAAAAGGAAAATCAATGCTTGGACTACAGTGTAAGCTCCTCTGGGTGAGGCAGCACAAAAAGCCACAGAAGAAGAGAAAAAGTGGCCAATTATACACACAAAAAGAAGCACATATACGTACGTGACATTATATGCAAATTATGGAGCATTTTTTTTTTTCATCATATTCCTAACATTGGGACACTGCAATTCTGCTGCGTCTTATTGGTTGAACGGTATCTCATGTTTGAGCTCATGTGACCTCCATCTCCACCCCTCAAGGCCCTAAACTCCACACACACGCACACACACACACACACACACACAGACACCCCCACACACACGCGCGCCCTGCTTCACTGCAGCTCCCCAGCTCTCAGGCTATGAAATGTACATCACACCTCCGATCTGAGGGAATCTCACCCAAATCCTTTGCTTGAATTATTGAAGAGGACCCGAGCCAGCTCGACTCTGATTATCCTCCAATCAATATTCCTCGCCTCGCCTCCTATAACATCAAATGCCTCCGACGATCGATCGAACCAATCAGGGGGAGCTGCTGCAGCTGGAAATGCAGAGTGTATTGTTCTGGGCTGTTTACACTGACACAACTTGGCGGGTATAACAGGCATGTTTATGCTGAAAAAAAAAAAAAAAAAAGCCAGTGATTGCTGATTGACCGACATGCTTTTGTGTGAGTTTTTGTAGTCTGCGCCGCAGATAACACCTGTTTGTGTTACAACGGCTTAATGGAGATACAAAGTTACAGTGGAAGGCAGATTTGCTCAATAATTTACAAAGTGAATTTATGAAACCGAGAAATGTAAAAGGAGTTAAATAAAAAAATAGGAAAGAAAAATAGATGTAGGAATCAGAACACTGTACTGATCCCGGAGCAAATGTGGATTGTTGCAGCTGCACAAACTAAACAGAAACAGAAAAACAGAAATGGAAAAAAAAACAACACAAAAAAAGTAAGGCAAAAAATAAATCTGCAACCAGTAAGTGAGAAATAAGTTGCTCCAATCAGAGTTAAGAGGAAACAACACTGTTAAATAAATGTCACTCTTCATATTTCAAGGCAAGGAAAGTTCATTTGCGACTCACAAGAGAGATCAGAGTGTTTTACGGGATTATAAGGAACAAAGGTGGGAAAAATCACAACGGTGAAATGAGTGCAAGCTGGAAAGAATTATTTATAACAGATGGAGTGCTGTGAAAAAGTATTTGCACATCATCTAACAATTTAATTACTTTAATCTATTGGAAGTCAAATCATTCGTATCAATTAATTTGGAGAGGAAGATATAAAGTCATAAGGCTTTGAGAACCACAGTGGAAGCCATTATCCATGGATGCAGAAAACATGGATCAGTGGGGAAGATTCCCAGGAGCTGAGCAAAATTACTCCGAGACGAATCAGCGATTCATTTAGGAGGTCACAGGAAACAACAACAACGAAAACAGAACAATATCTAAATTACTAGAGGCTTCGCTTTCCTCACTTTTTCTGATTTAATAACAGGAAAATGTAAAAAGACTGAGCATAAACTGTATCAGTGGAGCATATGGTTTTACAGCAGCACAACGTATAGTCCACCTGTGAATGGGAATGGCTCTCCGCTGTTGAGAAACGATTGCTTCCTGGAGACGTGGACCGTGTTGAAGTTTTAAATTTTACCCAATTGCTAATGTTTACCGTGACGTTTGCAATGTGCCGGTAATACAGGAAATTGCCTGCACTGTAAACAACCATCATGCACTGCGAAGAGAGAAGTGGCGGTCTGAACGGGGCGGCTGGTAATGTTAATGAAATATCTGGCCGACATGGACTGAAGAGCTTCATTCGCTTCCTCCGCTGCTATTGCTAAAACTACAGACAGACTACAATTCTGAAACAGCGCAGAAACTCAACATTATTGTTCACAACTTCATCTGTTTGCTGATTGGCCCGGTCAAAAATTGACTTGAGACAATCCAAGTTAAGGGGAGAAACCCCATTCTGTGCTGGAAGAAGAATTGGACATTCCGCTCTGCTGTGGATACAAAAATGTTAATTTTAGACACAGCAATGAACAGATAAAACAACATTATATTACCTCACACCTATGTTCAAATGTGGCTGTTATGTTTGTGTTCAAAGGAAGACATTATTCAGTTTATGTCCATGAGTGGAAAAGATTTCCTGTGGACCCTCTTGGAGTTGTTTTATTTTTTTTTAACTAAATAATCTCCTGCGATTGACTAGCGATTTTTTTTCTGCCCTATTCTCAAATTGAACAGCGTCTTCCTCGAGTGTTTCTGCTAGAAGCTGTGTTTGTTGTGTGACAGAGACATTTGCAAGTTCAAATGCTCAAGAAACCTCCACGTTGAACACCAACCTGAGTCGATTAATTTCTCCCTCCTTTTGAAAGCACACGAGTGTACGGGAGTTGTAACGATTTTTTTTCAATTAAAGGTAAATCT